CACACACACACACACACACTAACAGCTCTGATCATGATTCACACACGTCTGATTTTCATGTCAAACTTTCTTTCCTGATGAAACGAATCCACACACGACGTCCGACATCACAGACCCACACTGGTCACACACACACAGTCTACACACCGCAAGATGAAAATAGGACAACAGTCACTCATGAAGCAACATCAAGCAGCAGCATGTAAATGTCAGCATGGTTCAGACAACTCCTAACCTACATACATACATATATATATATATACACGCTATAGTTCCTTTTACTCTATATGAATAACTTCATGTTATTTTTACGCTTCATGTTCAACACGTACGGAGAATCATTCAGATTTTCTAACTTGGCTGAAGTTGATCCAAGTTGTTTCTTTCAGCTCACAGCGTCCTGCAGATCGCTTCCCATCTGTCCAGCTCACTGCCTACCACAGTGTCGGGTCGCTAAAACCAGAGGTTTGTGGATAAATGCAGCTAATAGAGCTGATCTGTCCTGAGCTGATCCTCAGCACATCAGTGTGAAACACATGCAGTGAAGCAGAAGTCCAGCAGTAGATTAAAGATCTCAGCTAAGTCCCTCTAAACTGACTTAAGAACCAAACCTGTGTGAACGTCCTGTAAGTCCAGCCCTGCTCTCCTGCCTGGGATCCCTCTGAGCAGAAACCAGCCTCCCTGTGCTGCTGCTGCTGTTATAATAGCAGCTGTTACACAACTCCACTGCATTGAGCAGAAAACAGGAACACACACTGAGGAGATTACAGTATTACAGCATACAGAGTGTTGCTGAGAAAATAAATCTTCCACCAATATTAGAATATGGCCCAAAACAGCCCAAGGTCTTCCTGTGGACTGACACATGAGCAGACCTTCCCTGAAGCCACTGAGAAACCCACAGGACCTGTTTACTCTGCTTCCCACTCAATCTGGTTCCTGGATTTACCTCCTGCTCCGGAGCTCCGGCCTCACTCTGAGGCAGGAAGGACTCTGTCATTGTTATATAGTTCTTATTCAATACCGGAGTGCCGCGGTGATCTAGAGGACGACATGGAAGGTATAAATCTGCTGTGCTGCCTTCAGGAGCGCTGGGAGGATTTATGGTAATTGGGAGAGTTGAGGGTGTCCGCTAATGGGCCGTGAAACCTAATCTATGACACAGTATTACTGCAAAGCTGAAAAATCTGCTGTGATCTGCGCTGAGATAGGAGGCCGGCCTCCACATTTATTCGCTGCGTAGCTCACGTCTGTCGCTTTAACAGCCGGTGCAGGACTCTGCGTCTCTGGGGTTTGCACATTCTCACTTTCCCGGCCGCCACTGAATCAATATAAGTCCCTCCCTGGATTTATGTCTGCGCTGCGGTTTTACTGCTGACGCTGGAAACTGTTAAATATGTGGAAACCTTCAACCTTTATGTACGCAGACACACATGTTTGCTCTCCATGTGTTGACAATCACAACATCATCAATGCTTTCTCAGGGCTCAGGCTGATCCATGGTACTAGTTAGCTTTATTAACTCTCTCACCATCCTCCTGATCTTCTTGAGTCTCTGTATCCCAGGTTTGTATTTCCATAGATGGGGACAGTTTACATTCTATTGATTCCACCTGTAGTTACTGGATCCTGAAGAAA